TTCAGCCCCCTCCCTGTCCGAAAAGAAATCGATAACTTCCTGTCTACCAGACTGAGTGTCCTCGACATGTTCGCGATGCGATGGCTTGAAACCAAGACATACAGAAAGAATATGCAGATGGAAGAAGCAGAAGAAATGTTAAAAAATTGAGGTCGAAGACCTGGTCTTTTTAAATGCTAAACACCTTTCTCTCTGCTGTCTTAAATACAAAGCTCCGTCCGCGGTTTATTGGACCTAGTTAGGTCGTGGCCAAGCGAGGCCTTGCGTATACGCTGAACCTTGCGAAAAGGATGCTCACCCACTTGTGGGCCTGCTTAAGCTGTACTGGGATCTGGCGCAAGTGAACGCGGAAGCGTTGGCGCCGGGGCGGCGCCTAAAGGCACTCGGCCACCCAAAAGCTGAACCAGCAACTGGTTCTGAACATGGAGTGCAAGATTTTCCGTTTCCAATGGTGTAAGGTGCTCCACCGTCGCACGGAGTGACGTATTTGTCTGCTTGACGGCTAGGAGCCGCTCCGACAGAGCGCGATTATCCTCAACGTGAGGCAGTCGGTGCACAAAGTGCTCCAGGCTTTCGAGATTTCCGCTCAGTGGTGGACGACCTCGGAAAGATGCTCGGCAGTGTGGCGGTTACAACGGACTTTGTCCTCCAAAGCTCGAAGAGCATCGCTTCTCACCGTCCGCAGCCGATTCTTCGCGACGACAATGGTGGCGTCCACTACCACGTGAAGCGCCTAGTGAGTCGACGTCGTCGACGGGGTTTAAAGAATATCTTGTGAAGTGGCAGGGATACCCAAACTCCGAGATCTCGTGGTAGCTTGAGGTGCCACTTCTCAGACGTCGTGAACGCGATCATGACACTTCGCGTCGTCTTGTACCCTGAAGTGCTGTGGTCGTAGACTCTCCCATGTGAAAAACCACAGAGCTCGCGGGAACGTGATGGATGATTTCATGTGTCGCAGGGCGACAAGAAGCAGGAAGTCGGCGTTGCGCCTTGAGGCTGGCAGACTCAATTCTAAGAAGGCGCTCAACGCGCACGTCCACCTCCTTGTGGCTTCGCTGTATGTTGGACAGTAAGGAAGTTTCCATTTCCAGCACACCCATCGCTCAAAGTACTTATCATCATTTACAGCGGTTTTGCCAGGGGCGAGCATCACGGGAATAGTCCGCATTGCGGGTGCAGGTGCGCCTCCTCTTTGAGCTCGAAGTCGAGAGCAGTACCGATACATTGGGTGTGGTACCAAAGCGCGAGCTCAAAGAGCTTTCCGCTGGTCAAGCTCAGATTGTGTAGTGGCCGGGGGCCCGACTACGTAGACGCCAAAGATCGGGTGATCGTGTCTTTCGCTTTAGTAGCGGGATCCGCCGGCGGAAGCCGTACTCCACCCGGGTCTAAGACCGAACGTGGATACGAGCGCATGAGAGCCGCCCTGTGGGCTGCATTCAATCACTGCTCCTGTGTCTCGTCGAGGCGATTGGTAACAATACCACCCCCTCCGGAAGTCGAGAGGTCGGGAAACGGACACGGTGTCCTCAAGGTTCAAGCTGAGCTCACGTCGCGCCGTTGGCGCACCTCATCCTCCTCGTTTTACCATGCTAAGAAAGGAGTATCCGACTTGTAGCGACTTTCTCCGACTCCTCGACAAGGAAGTCCTCCACCCGGGGCGGACGTGGTGTGTGGCGCTCGGTTGCCGAGGGCTCGGGATGTGCTTGTTTGGAGATGCACCTATGCAGAAGAAGGGCTTTGCCTGCGGGCGCTCTCGGAACCAGCTAGACTGGCGTTTTGCGCGTCATCGACACAGAGATCATCGAGGGAGAATGTTCAAGGAAATTCTTAAGAATGTAATGGTGTCTCGGACACGCGAGCCTCGAATGAAGCGACAGTTAATGTGAATTCTTTAACCAACACCACCAGAAGGACAAAGCTTTTAGACAAAGGCCTTACACAAAAGTCGTCAATGCTGTCTACTGATGAGCTAATGAAAATGTAAATGGCACCGACCAAAGGCATGGCTTTTAAAAAAATCTCATGTTCGACGCATTTTTCTGTCCGCGAGCTACAACATTATGAGTACATAGGATAGGGTACGTGTAACGAGGTTACACGTACCCTTATATGAAATAGGGCGGGTCGCAAGATGGTGTGACCATACATAGGTGTGGATTACACAAGTTGGTGTAATCACGCAATAGTGTGTCGAAGCCACTACGTGCAGCAGGATTGCCAATAGTAATGCATATTAATTAGGGTCTACTATATTAATTTGGTATTGCTATATTTATTAGGAGAACCTCAGGTTTAAGATATTGGCTTCTCTAGCAGAAGACTTCATTTGCCTTGGTTAAGGTTTTGGGATACTCTTAGAGGTAGCGGATTGCGATTCGCTACACTCGTACTGGTAACATAAGGTCGATATCCTTAGCTTAGCTTCTTATAATTAAAGAGCTACGGCAGCCCCGCTGCATCGTTCCTATTTCCGAGCGTGTCTAGATGCTCTGTGATAGGTATTCAAAGAAATTGTTTTCTACCTACAATACTCTCGCAAGAATTGACTACAAGTATCACCGATCGCACTGAAGTTGCCGTGCACCTTGGACAGAAAAAGCTTCGACGCAAAGGGTCCACGTTGACAGATGAACAGAGAGTCTCTAAAGTAATAGTAGTTACATGCTATTTCAAGAATGATGTTATCGTAAGATGAACCAATTTATAATATATACGTCTCACTCCGCTCAATTATATTATTGTTGGTATTTCTAAAGCATCATAGAATGGTAGAATATGAATATTCGTCAAGACCGTTTATTACAAATAAATAATAAATTGTACTCTCAAGTTTTTTGTGCCCACCACACCACATATTCTCCTCACATATCCATCCCAAAAGTGTTAAAATTTTGTGGGCCAAACGTCAAAGCTTCAAGCGAAGATGGCGACGGAGGGTGACGCAGCCGCTCTGACCGCCTCTAGTATTAATCAAGGTGCGTTTGTGGGCCTCTTGTGCTCCGTATGATACTCTCTCATTTCACCTTCAATCCACGTTTGATGGATGTCAATGCGGAGGTCAAAAAGAGTTTTTTTTGCGTGAGTTATGCACTAACGATTTGACACAATCCTCAGAACAATTGCTGCATGAGTTGGAGGCAAAGTATTTGGCGCTCAAAAGCGAATTTACGCTAGCAGAGAACGATCGCCAAGCACTAGTGGCGGACAAAGCGGCAGCTTGTAAGTCGCGCACATTCAGAATTTGATCTCACTAGTCGCATTCTTACATAAATGATTGTTAATTGCAGTGGCAGAAGTTGAGCGCAAAACTAAGCTCGCAGCCGAGCGCAATGAAGAGGCGAATCAGCTGAAGCAGCAGATGCTGCAGTTGACCATGGAGAAAGATTCCTTGAGTTTTAAGCTGCAGATGGCCGCTTCGTTGGCCGAGCGCCGACTCTCAGAAACCGAGGAGTTACAGTCTACAGTTAGAGAGCAGAATCGCCTACTTGTAGATGTCCAGCGTCAAGAAATGCAGTCACTCGAACGTGCGAGTCAACAGGAAGCACAAGTGGCGCCACTGACCAATGCATTATCAAGAGCCAAGAAGGAGACAGAAGTAGCTCAGCAACACTCACAGTGGCTCGAATCTCAGTTAAGCGAGAAGACAAAAATTATTCAGGAGCTACGGTTGACTCTGGCCTCACTCACGCACGAGTTGGAAGAGCTCAAGATTCGCAGTGCAGAGGAGCTTGCATCAACTAAACGCCAGCTCGAGAGTGCAAGGTTAGCGAATCAAAAAATGGAAAACGCGTTGATCAAAAGCAAAGAGGCCCTTAAAGAGCTGCAAGCTTCCAAGGTGCATGATGAGGAGGCATTGCAAAACGAGTTGAATGCACAACGCCGTCTCGCAACATTATACCAGGAGTCTGCAGACCACGCAACAGCTCGCGTGTCGGAATTACAAAGGCTGTGTGATTCGCTGCGTAAGTCGCTGGATGACTCTGAAAAAGCACTGATTCGTGAGACAGAGCGCACGAAGGAGCATGTAGAGCACTTGTTTCGTGAGCAGGCTGAGACGTCCGAGGCTCGTATCCAGGCTTTACAGGACGATTTGCAGAATGCAGAGCAGAGGATCGAAGAACTCGAACAGAAAAAGATGCTTACATTGCAAACGACCAGTGCCATAGCAGAGCTGTCAACCGCTGCCGGAGAAGCTCACTTAGCTGCCCATGGGCTGACTCCGAAACAGATGTTTGATCATATTGTCGAGCTTGAGGAAACACTACAAGCGGAGCGCAAGGAAAAAGAAAAGTTGCAAATTTACATGGACCGCATTGTCAAGGAAGTCCAGGAGAAAGCGCCTGTGCTAATGGCTTTGCGTCTAGATCATGAGCGAACTGTGGCCAGCCACACACAACTGAGCGAGCGGTTGGAGCATTGCATGCACGAACTGGTCAAGAGCAAGCATAACGAGCAGCAGGCGTGGAATGAAAAATCAGCGCTCGAAAAGAAGTGCGAGTCGTTTGCACAAAGTATGGATGACCTCTCGCGTCAAGTACAGCATCTGCTTTTTCGTTCGCAAAAGGAACACCAGCAAGTGGACAATCTAGAGGTCGGATCCGAGAATTTAGTCATCTTTAAGAACGTGGAAGAGTTGCAAGTGCGCAATCAACAGCTGCTAGCCGTAATTCGTGAGTTGACCGAGATGAACAAATCGAAATTAGACAATAAATCAAGCAATGGGAGTGACCTTGAGTCGACAGAAACGTCAGCGCACCTGATAACTACAGGCGACTCAGATGAAGAAGTAACCGAAAATGGAATCCCTGGCGCCATTCAGAAGCGCTTATCTGAGGCTCGAAGGGAGCTTCAAGAACTACGTCTTGAGCGTGAGCAGGAGCGTGAAATGATAACAGCGATTGTGAAGCAGCGTGATATGTATCGTATTTTGTTAGCTCAATCCGACACGAAATTTTTTGACGGAAACGATTCGTCTAGCACAAAAGTGGGCTCTTTTTTTGTAGAGAAAGCCCCCAGCAACCGTAACTCACTTGACCTTAATGAGAGTACAAAGGTTCGTGAGATCCAAATGGAGTTTGAGGACTACAAAAAGGAAAAGCAGGCTAGTTTGAGAATGTTGCAAGAAAATTTGGATCAAGAACACAATAAAAATTCGCAGTTAAGACTCGCACAGATGCAAGCTCAAGTGGAGGCAACCTGTAGCAAGGAGCGCTATGAAGCTTCGGAGGAACGCTGCACCAACGCAGAGAATGAATTGGTGCGTTTGCGGTCCAAGGCTGACCAGTTAAGCTCATCAATTTTGCAGCACCAGTCAATGTTAGCAAATGTTGAGGCAAAGTTGGAGACTGCAAATTCGCGTCTGCAAAGTCTATCTGTTGAAAAAGACTCAGCTGTATGTGAAGCAACTTATTTGCGCAAAAATGAGGAGAAACTGTTGCAAGAGATGACAACTCTGCGTCTTGACAACACAAATTTGCTTAAGCTGATGGAGTCGACGCGTCGTATGGAGACCGGTCGTGAAGAGCGTGATCATCGTGCAATAGAAACCTTGACGAAGAAAGTGACACTGTTGGAAACAAAGCTACAAGAGACATACGAGAAATTGGATACAAAGGAGGCTCTTTCTGGTGCGCAAGCTCTAGCTGCCGAGAGGGAGAAGCAGGCAGCATTGACAGAATTACAAAAGCTAAAGGAGAGACACGGTCAATTAAAAGAGCAGCTTGTGCGGCTCGAAGAACAGAAGACAGCTCTGGAGAGCAAGTCGACGTTGCTGGAGCAGGAGACCACGCATCTGCGTGAACAGCTTCGAAAGGGAGCTAACACCTCAGTCAACGAACGTGTCGCGACACTGGAGGTGCAGCTGCGTGATGCTCAACATGAACTACAGACATTGCTTGTATCAAAGAAGACCTTAGCCGAAAGCGTGATCAAGTACAAAGCTCTAGCTGAAGCAAATGACAAGACTTTGATTGAGTTATCGAGTGCTAGCGAGAAATGGAAGCGCAGTGAGGCTGAAAAGGTGCTGGCACTCGAGAATTCTCGCAATAGTCTAGGTGCCGAGCTGGATAAAGCTCGTGCAGAGCTCGCGGAGCAAACTGCAAAAAATCATGCCTTGCGCGAAGAAATTAATCGAGACGAGCAGACGCGTAAGCGAGCAATTAGCGAAGCTATTGAGAAGCAAACGATGCTGCAGCTTCAACTTGACAATGCTGTCCAGCAATTGAACAGTGTACGGGAAGAGATGGGGAAGATGAAGCGTGTTTTGGACACCACTCAGGATAACTATGAGCGCGAGCTGCAACTTCATGCGGCGGAGGTGGCAAAGTCGTCATCGTCGCGTCGAGAAATGGAGGAACTTCGCAAGGTTGTATGTGAACAGGAGGCAACTATCAAGTCTCTGAACATCAAGGTGCAATCAGTAAGAAAGGAGCTAAATCTTGAGTTGGAGACTTTGCAGAAGCATCTAGACGATGCCGTTGAGGCCAAGAACGTCGTTTTGGAACAAAATAAACTATTACATTCGCAGCTAGAGCGCGCAGCGACTCAGGTACGTCGTGCTCACGAACAAGAATTGCTGAACGTGTCAGGCTCTCAACAGGATGCTGGTGAAGCGGTCGTAGCATTCAACGCACATGACAAAGAAATTGATGACCTCAGAAGTGTAGTCGCTTATTTGCGCAAAACAAGCGAGATCGCCGAGTCAAAATTAGAAATATCACAGCAAGAAGTTCAGCGTAGTCGTGCCCAGATCTTTAGCCTAGAGAGCACGATTATCCGCCTTCGTGAAGAAGTGAAATTCCTTTCTGATGCAGCAACTGCTGCTAGCCAGCAGGCAACAGTATCTTCTGCTGATGACGAAAAGCGCGTGGCTCAAATAGAGCAACTGAGTCTGTTGCGCGAAAGCAATGCGACTTTGCGCGACGAGAATCAAAAGAACCTAGCGAGGTTCAAGGAAGCAGAGGCAAAGGTTCGAAATCTTGAGGCAAAAATTGTGCCTTTGCAAAACGCTGAGACCTCGCTCAAGATCCAAGTGGCGTCTTTAAAACAGGAAGTTGAAACGCTTAATGATGCTAACAAACGCTGGAAACAACGTGTCGATCAATTGGTAGAAAAGTATCAGCAGATTGACCCGGCAGATCATGAAAAGCTCCTATTAGAGAAAGAAGCGATGACAGAGGAGCTGGCCAAAATAAAGACCGGACAAAGTGCTTTGAAGGCAGAACTAGAGACGCTACGTTCAAGAGGTGGCAAAGAACTCGAAGAAGAGAAGAAAAAAGTCGAAAACTGGATGAAACAATACGAGCGTATTAAAGGTTTTGCCAAAAACTGGAAGAATAAGGCGGAGGCTTTGACCAAACAGCTTGCAGAGAAAAACAAAGAAGTGGAGGATCGTACAAGTGTCGTTGCAATGTTAGAGGCTAAGCTTATCTCCGTTCAGACACAAATAAGCACTGTGACGACGGAGAAGTCCGCATTGGAAATGAAGTTGGCAACGTGTGAGGTTGCGAGGCAAGAGAGCGTTGCAGCAGCTAGTGGTGTTAGTGCATCATGGGAGAAAGAACGCCAAGCTTTAAAGGCGCAATTGGAGATAGAAACAAAGAAAAGTACGCAGCTTAAGGATTTTAACGCGCGTTTGATGTCGGGATTAAAGACTTTGAAGAAAGAAAATAGCGAGTTAAAGGATAACGCCGCGAACGCTTCCCAGTCTTCTGTACCACAAGATAAAACACCTTTACTTTCTCCACCCGGTTCACCTCCACAGATATCTTCTCAGGCAACAAGTACAGCCCCTACGAAGCCAGCTCCAGCTCTATCCAAGCCAAGTGCAGCTCCTGCGCTGTTGTTTTCGTCACCAAAGCCAGGAGCCCAGACTGAGCCGGTGGTATCGCAGTCAAGCGCTGTCACGACTGAAGCAAATAAATCTGTTGCTCCGATAGCTGCACAAGGCACCATATCAGTTGCTTCTGCAGCCTCTTCATCTCCACAATGTCTGCCCATCAGTACAGTAATATCAACCGTAAATACTGCCACCTCGACAGCAAATGCTACGACTGCGCCAGCGCTTTCTATTTATCAACCAACAGTGAAGCCTGTGGTAATCTCTCCAGCTCAAGCAGCCACTGAAATCGCACCTACATCTGCACTATCAGTGCCCGTGCCCCCGGTGGTCGTACCTACGAAAGTAGAGACAGAGAGCTCAAATCACGAGTCTGCAATGACGTCCGAGGAACAGTTGCGCCAATATGCGCTACGGTCGATAAAAAAGCAGGTGGGTGGTGCAACTCGGTCTACCTCGACGAAAGATCTCGTTCCTTCTGCTAGTGCTGTCACAGTTGTTTCACCTGCAATAACCGAGACGGTGACAGTATCGGAGACGCCAGAACACTTGGAATTTAGTGCTGGCACGAGCTTTGGTGCATTTGGGTCAGGAGGCCCAAGCGGGCTTGTATTTGGCAAACCAGGTATATCTCTGCCCATCCCTTCAGCGACGTCTCCCGCTGCATCAAATCCGCCGCATCTATCACTGACTGGCGAGAGCGTACCTCCAGAGGCTATGCGCCGTAGTCAGCGACTTGCGCGGTTTAGCGCTAGTGGAGACGCCACGACTAGCGCTTCGATCCCTTTGGTACCTGGAAGTAGTAGCACGAAGCGACCGCTAAATGATGCCGAAGAAGGCGCTACTTCCATGCCTAAGGTTGCCAAGACAAGTGACAACCAGACGACGAAGACTACACCGGCGTCTACAACCATGAGCGTGGCTAACAACACGATTTCGGAGGGAAGAGAAGAGGACGACGATCCTTCACAAACAGAGACGACTGAATCGCAGTCAACTCCACAACCGCAGTAAATGATGAGAACGGAAAACATGAAATTGCGTAAACAACACGTGGCTTTAGGCCTCACCTGTGATGATTTGCATTATGACAATGAAAGGCAAAACAGATCTGGTGACATTTTGAAGAAGGCCTATGGTATTGGCTAGCCCTAAATTCTAATGATGTTGCGGCAGCTTTTCAGATTAATTCGCATTTGGTGTGTGACCGATAATGCACCCACAAAGTAACATTACACAATAAATAACACACTTGAGAATTGTCTTTGATCTGTCAGTCCACCAATCATGACACGCATAGTTTATATTTTGATCAATTATCGGAAGACGCGGCCAACAAAAGCAACTATAATTGCTGAAGTATATAAATTCAAAGGCTTGGTGCTATAGGATGGCAGGCAAGTCAAGAAAATTTGCTTTGGAGTTATGATTGAATCGGCGCTGCTCCTGATTTCTAAAAGTTTGGATAATGAGCTTGTGAGAGTGCTAGCTTTCTGAAGTCAAAAGCAAAGTGAGCTATGTTGGCCTAAATTGTTTGATAGACTGGCTTTGAGAATTGGGCATATCCAGCTACTTCTTGTAGACGCTCTACGACAACACTTTCAAATTGTCGACTTTCACTGCCCTCATTAGCGTGAGAGCACATCGCCTGTGTCGAAAATGGCTGTTTGGTGCTACTATAATTGTAAGCCTTCAGAGCTTTGTCAGAACACAGTCATTTTGTTGTGGCCATAAAAAAACAATAACACATAGACCCTATACCCCAAGTGTAACGGGGTTAGTATGAAGAAGTGGGTCACACAAGATGATGTGACCATACAATACGGTGTAATCACACAATGGTGTGACGACACCTTAACAAAAATTCACTATGTGGCTGGACTGCCAGTAGTTATGCATTTTAATTAGGTTTTACTATTTAGTTATGATAACCTATATATTTGGATACAGGCGGCTTTGCCGCAAATAAAACCAAGAAGTACATTTTTACATTTTGAACGGAAGAGTTCATTTGCTTGGGTTAAGGTTGAGTTTACTCTTGGCCAAGCGCGAGAAGGGGAACAGACGTGCGGCATTTCGGTCGAAGCGGCGTTTCCCTCCTGGAAGAGCTGAAGCTGCAACTTTTACGAGTGTTCTTGCCGCCTAACCAGGCATATCGCGTGCGATCGCGTTTCCTTGCCGCTCGACAGAACAAGAAGGAATTGGTGGACTTTGTCAAGGGGTTGCGTACTCTGATTGCCGGAATGGCAGCCGATCCTCTCCCCGAGGCGGTCACAGTGACCGTCTTTATGGAGGGCCCCCGCACTGGCGTGGCTAGAATGGAAGTCTTCCGTATGCACCCGTCTTCTAAAAAAGAAGCAGTGAATGTGGCATTGAATGCCGATATCAACTTGAAGCTGGCACGACTTGATTGGAATGCACACCCTCATAGCTCTTCGAGCGCGCCTGGACCGATGGATCTCAGCTGTGTTGAGGACAAGGAAACAGAGCTCCGAGATGCCGGGCGGCGATCGAGCACCCGACGGTGTTCTGTCTGTGAAGACTCCCGTCATCTTTGGACTCGTTGTCCCCTGCGCAAGGCGCGTCATGGTTCATCGAACTGACGTCCCGCTTCTTACCAGTTTGGCTTGTAGCGGGAAAACGACAACACCCAGTACCCTACTAAAAAGAACTGAGTTCTGTTGAGCATCAATGAGGTAGAGGACAGTAGGGCCCAGCTCGAGGAGCTCCGTGCTCTTGAACACGGAACGTGTTTGCAGCCATGCTTGCTGGTCGTGGAAGCGACCGTGAAGGGCTTTGAAAAGCCATGGAAGATCTTTAGCAAATCAGGGGCGCCGGAAAAATTATGCTCGATGCTCCACGATCGAAGGAAGTCAGCTGTTTGCTGAGGCTCGGAAAGCGCGAATGAATATTTACTGTTCGCTTAGTGACGGCTACATGTGTGGACCTCGGCGTCAACTTTTTTTTACTTCGAGAGCGTGGAACGCTGTTTAGTCTTAGACTTAGTTCAAAGTATGTCCCCATCCTTGGTACGGTATGATTGGAACACTATAAACCATAGATCAATTGAAGATCGAAGAACTTGGGCGCAACGCGCACGTCTTGTGGATAAGCTGTGGTGAGTCATGAACCAATCTTTGCTAGGAAGCAGAAGCGCTATTGGCGCGAGCACTGGTCCGGGGCGGCCAATGTACTGAATATTGGAGTATCCGAATTGTCGAACACTAAAGGTGTATTGGACCAGAGCCCCGGGCATGGCTCGCGGGCGGAACGTGGAGTGACACGTAGCCCACTGAGCGCTGCTCAAGTATTGAAGTAGCTGCTGCATGCCAAGAGTGGCATGGTTGGCCAAGGGCCGAGGCATTGAGGGCGAGGTCCTAGTGATGCACGTGGAGTGCACGTATTCCACTGAGTATTGCTCACGTTACGAAGCAGTTGCTGCATGCTATGAGTAGCATGGTCGGACGAGGTCCGAGGAATCTTGGCAAGGTCCTTCAGATGCGCGTGGAATGGCACGTTATCAACTGGACGAAGACTGCGGAGCTAGCAGCTCTTCGTCAGATGTTTTTAATATCATCAAGGCTCCGGTAGGGAGAGGGGGGTGGGGATACTGGACGAAGCCCAGCGCATATTTCCACTGACCCCGCCGAGTCGTACAACCTCTGTGGAGAGGCGACAGCGGCATCGAATGTTATCTGCAAGACGCTATGCACCCATTCTGACTCAGGATATGTCTACGGTATATATCGTGGGTCAGAATGGGTGCATAGCGTCTTGCAGATAACATTCGATGCCGCTGTAACAGTTAGTTAGAACTAACTGTTCTACACCCTCGTCAACGGTATGACGGGGAGGATGACGGCGACGTCACCATCGAGGCTATTCCTGTGGTGAATGCTCTTCTTGATCTGGACGAGATGTCCCTCGAAGAGTTCGGCGGTGCCTTGAAAGCAAGCGACATAGCCGAAGTGGTCATTATACGACCGGAAGAGGATATTAACTCATCGTCGCTTCTGGATGTAGCTGTCCTGGAGGACACCAAGAGAGTGCTGAGCGCACAAAGCGGATCATCGATCCTGAAGGATCCCCCTGATCCGCACTATCATTTGGTAAAGAAATTTTATGACGTCTTCTCCAAAGACCCGCCGTCGGTCCTACCTCCGGACCGAGATGTGCGTCATGAGATTGGCCTGGTTCCGGGAACAAAATACTGCGAAACACCCAATGGCCCATATCCAAGGAGCAGTGTAACGTCATTGACGCCTTTATTTGTGCGAAGCACGACGCAGAAATGGTGCGTGAGGGCAAGTCTCCCCCGACGTTTTGTGTCCAGAAGCCGAACGGCAAGTGACCTATCGTTCACGCTTACAATAAGCTAAACGCTGCCACTATTCCGGCACAGACGCCGATTATTTAAAAAGATGTTCTCCAGAGCAAATGGATGGCTATACAAAGAACAGCGCGCTCGGCTTGGTTGATGGTTACTACCAATTGCTCATGAGAGCAAGTGATATTCCGCTGACAGCGGTGAATGCTCCAAGCAGGATGCATTGGGAGTGGCTGGTGATACCGCAAGGCTGTCACATACACCAGCAACTTTTTATCGCCTTGTGACGCAATTGTATAGGACCCATCGGGCGTATGCACAAACATACTTCGACGACATCTTCGTCCACAGTCGTGCGGGGCACGGGAGGACAGATAAGAAAAATCACATCGTGCATTTGAGAGCGAATCTTGAGTGCATGCGCACGAATAAGCTGTAATCTCATGCAGATGAGTGCATCTTCGGCGCGAAAGAAATCATCTTTTAGGGTGCTTCACTGGAAAGCGTGGTATTCGAGTGGATCCCGCTAAGGCCGAGGCCATTGTAGACTGGCCGGTTCCAAACAGCCAAAAGGACTTGCGCAAGTGGCTTGGACTCGCTAATTACTTCCACAAGTATAGCGCAAATTACGCAGAAATAGCACGGCATTTGTCTAATCTCCTTGTGAATGATGCGGAATGGTGTTGGGACATCGAGCATCGGGAGGATTTTGACAGGGTCAAAGACAGCTACATGAGATGTTCCAGTCAGCGCAGGCGTAAACAGCTACATAAATCATATAAGAGGAATATTAAAAGACCTTTGTGAGTACAAATCCTTGGTACAAGCGTCAGTTTTTTGTATGGATGTACCAAATTTTTTACACATGATTCTACGGCATCAAAAGTCCATGTACCGAATCTCCTTCATGCGGCAATACTGTCGTTGTCAGACCCTTATCGCCCTTTTAGTGTCGTCAGTGACGTTTTGGACTTTGCCATTGGCTGTGCACTGCTGCAAGTAGACGCCGAGAGGCAAGATTAGGTGATCGAGTTCGAATCTCGCCGGCTTAGAGCTGCGGAGAAGAACTACCCAGTCCACTGCGATGGAGTATGCACTTGTCATGATTGGGGTGCACCTGCTCGGCTCAAAGCCGTTTGTGATCTACAGAAATCATGCGTCACGACCCACTGCGACTCAGTCGCCTCACCTCTGACAGAGGATGGCCAGGTGGCTCTCATTCTTTGCAGAATATAACTTCGAGGTAGAGTATAAGCCAAGAAAGCAGAATGCTTATGCTGACGCGTTGTCACGCAGACCGAATTATGAACTTGCTCATGTCACGACGGCGACGTCGTCAGTGACAAATTTGATCCGCGCCACATCCGCGCGTGCGTATCGCTGCTACAGGCTCTCGGGAGCAAGAAATTTGAAAACTCGGACAAGAAATTGTCGGCGCGATTGCACGCACGGTTGCACCGACATTCGTTGAGTAAAAGGTTGCTGATTATAGCACCGATTCGACGGATACACCACGAATGTGGTATCTCACGATGACAAATATCATATCTTCTACAAGTGTCACGACACCCCACTATTCGGTCATCTCGGTCGTGAGAACGAGTGGCAACGCACAGAGCTGTGCGTTGCCACTATTGGTTGCCCAAACTGTACAAATGGACAAGCACATATGTGGGCACGTGTGAGACGTGTAGAAGGGTGAAACCCTACTTATATGCGGCGGTGCCGCTGGCCAGTTTACCGGTACCCTCAGGGTGTTGGCTGACCATGACTATGCACATTGTGCTTAGCCTGCCGAAGGACTCGGCGGGCAACACGGGTGTGGTGGTCTTTGTGGACCGTTTGAG